AGGAGGAGGAGGAGGAGGAGGAGGGGGAAGACGGAAGTGATGGTTCAGAAAAATTGTCAGAGTCAGTTGGTTGCGGAGAGGACGAGGCACAGGCGGGTGGAGGGGCGGCGGTTGGTGCGGTATGGGAGGTGCAATTGGTCCGACGGAGTTCAGTGAGTCCAGTTCGTGCCCGACGTACCCGTTGACGCCGAGGACACTTTGGAAGCGGTGGTGCGTCTGCGTTGCTGACGGGGCGTAGTTGTAATTTGCCTGCTTCGCGTTTCACTTTGGCAGCGGCGATTCGTTTGGCCTCATAGATCGCAGCGCCTGTCTTCACTTTCCCTCTCCAGGTCGGTCGGTCGAGGACGAGCTCTTCCCAGTTGATCGGGTTGATTTGCAGCTGCTTCAGGCAGGACTTCAGAGTATCCTTGTATCGACGAATTTGGTCTCCTTGGCGGCGAGAGCCCGTCGCGACGTCTCCGTATAACAGTCGTTGGGGTAGTCGCTCGTCGTCCATGCGCACCAGGTGGCCGCCCCAGCGCATCTGCATTTGTCTCAGCATGGTGTAGATGCTGACGATTCCCGTCCGTTCGAGCACATCAGTGTCGGGGATTCGATCCTGCCAGTTCAGCCTCAGGATGCGACGGAGACAACTGAGGTGAAAATGGTTCAGTCGACGAGCCTGCTTTGTGTATACTGTCAAAGTCTCCGCTCCGTACAGCAGCGTCGGCAGGATGACGGCCTTGTACATCTTCAGCTTCGTGCTCAGTTGGAGACCTTGATGACTCTAGACTGTGCTTTGGAGGCGACCGAAGGCTTGACTGGCTTTCGAGATCCTGTGAGCTACTTCGTCATCGATTTTGGTGTTAAGGGAGAGGGTGCTGCCCAGGTACGGGAAGTTCTCCACCACTTGCAGTTGGGTTCCGTTCACACTGATTTGCGGCGCGTTGGGAGGAGTAGCTGTGTTGGGTGGCGGTTGATGCATGACCACCGTCTTCTGCGTGTTAATGACCAGACCGAAGTTCTCGCTGGCGACAGAGAAGAGGTCTATGCTCCGTTGCATCTCCTCTTCCGAGATGGTGTTCAGAGCGCAGTCATCGGCGAAGAGAAGTTCGCGAACGGTGGTTGTGGATACGCGCGATTGGAAGTGCATCCGCCGTTGATTCAGAAGATGGCCGTCTGTCCTGTAGGCGATGCGGATCCCAGGACGTTCATCACTGTAGGCGTCCATCAGCATGGCAGAGAACATAAGACTGAAGAGGGTAGGCGCCAGCACGCATCCCTGCTACACTCCGTTGGTCACTGCGAATGCCTCTGAGACAGCTCCGTTGTCCGTGACTCGCGCCATCATACCGTCGTTCAGCTGACGCATCATCTGAATGAATCGCTCCGGACAGCCGAATTGCTGCATGATCTTCCACAGTCCTTCACGATTCACCGTGTCGAAGGCTTTCGTCAGGTCAACGTAGGTAGAGCACAGGTGGGTCCGCATCTCCTGGCACTTCTCCTGAAGTTGGCGGGCGGAAAAGATCATATCCGAGGTCCCGCGATGACGACGGAAGCCGCATTGGCTTTCCGGCATAAGGATCTGTTCCAGATGATTATTCAGACGATTGAGGAGGATGCGAGCCTAGATCTCCCCGGCGATGTTCAACCAGGAGATGCCACGGTGATTGCTGCAGACTTGGCGGTTCCCTTTTCGCTTGTAGAGATGCACGATGGTTACGTCATTGAAATCTTGCGGAACTTCACCTTGACGCCATATCTCCTGGAAGAGCTCA